GGAGCTGTTGCCCTTTCCCCAGTGTCTGCAGTGTGCCCCCTCTGCTCCCCCCCAGGGCCTGGGATTCTCTTCGCTGCCCAATGTGACAGGGCTCAGGAGCCAGTGGGGGTGGGGGGCCCGCAGCAGCTGGAGGGGAATTGAGTGGGAAGGGGCCAGAGCGGGCAGCCGGGAGAGAGTTTGATGGATTACTCTGCAGGCCGAGAGGTTTCTCCCTAATCCGCCTTTGTGTCCCCGCCGGCAGCCCCCTCACTCCCTCTGACAAGCTGCTAAGCAGAAGGCTTCCAGTCTGGGTGAAGAAAAGGCAGCGCAGCAGGGCGAACTCTAAATCCCTGGCCTCTGGGCCCTGGAGGAGGCAGGAGCCAGGCAGCAAGTCTGGGGTGGGGGTAGGATCGCCCCCCTCTGCCCAGCTCTTATTCTTTCCTACGATTTCCTTGAGGTGGAAAGGTTGCTTTTCTGAGTAGTGTTTTCAAGGTGTCTGTGGGAACTCTTCAAAGTCGTGGGCTCCAGCTATTTGCGCCAATCACTGCGTTTTGATAGGATGGGATTGGAGAACACAGACCCTCACTTCTTTGGAAGTATTTGAGGCCTGAGAATCATAGGCTGAAAATGGGTTGCAAGGCCCGAGGCCAAGGCCAGCCTAATCCTGTCCCTCTCCCACCTCCCAGCTGCCCAGGTAGGTCATCCCTCAGAAGGATGTCCATTTTCAGGTCCCCTGGCTGGCCAGCCCAGCCCCTTTCTGGGGTGCCCCAAGGCCCCTTGTGGAGCCGCCATGAGCGCAGAGCTCATTTCGGGAGTGTACTGTGCTAGGCTTTACTAGGTGAGGCCAAGGACATTGGCCCCCAATACTGAGGCGAGAGGGCGGGTCACAGGGATGCTGGGCTGGTGAACTCCCAGAGCCCTTCTCTATCCCCCTTCTAGAGGGCCTGGGAGAGCTCAACTGAGGTTGAGACTCGAGTCCAGCCCAGTGTAGGGGAATGAGATTCCCCCTTCCCCAAGCCTCTCCCTGCTGCCCACCCTCAGCCCAGGCTTGGGGCCTGCCTTAGTGAGGTGGGCCTGCAGTGAGCCCACCCCTTTCGCAGCTGCGTCATTATTCCTGAGGCTGGCCTGCCCGGTCTCCAGTTTCCTTCTGTGTGGGGAGGGGCTGCTTCCCCAGGAGCCTGTAAGAAAGCAGCCCAGTCTTTGTGAGTGTGGAGGGAGGATGGTGGGGTCACTGAGCCTGCGGGGTCAGGATGGGGGCTGCAGCCGTTTGATGTGCCTGGGCGGGGTGTGGGGACTCCGGCCTGCATAAAGAGGCCATAGAATTGCTGCCTGACGCTGGCCTGCGGCAGGCTGCCCCCAGCCCAGCTCCCCCGGCCTCTGTCTGTCAGCAGAGGGAATCTGTTCTCCCCCTCCAGCCCCCCACCCGCTCCACCTCAGCTGTGCAGGGTGGCAGGAGCCCCTTTGAAAGCCCTCAAAGGCCTCTTTCTATGTCCCTCTGACCCTCCCTTCCCATCGGGAGCTCCCAGGAGTGGGCTTGATCGCCTTGCCCCCCACCTCCTCGACTCTTGTCTTCTGAGTCTTGGAGAAAGTTCAGGCCAAGTTTGTTCCTGTTGCTCAGTTTCATTTCCCTGTACTCTGCCCAGAGCCTAACCTGAAGTGGGTCAAGGGGAGCAGTCCTTGGGCCTTCTGGCCACGGTGTGGTGGGGTCTGTCCCATCCACGCACCACCTGTGAACCCTTAGGAGCTGCCCCTCTGGGGTCAGGCTGGAATTTACGCGGTGTGTGTGTGGGTTTAGGTCTTACCCGATGCTCACGTCGCCTACCTCCCTTTGCTCTCAGCCCTTTATGCATTAGCTCAACATTTCCCAGTCTCCTCCTCCTGCTAGGGTGGGTACTAGAGGGTTGGAGTGGAGCCCGCAGCCTGCTCTGGGAGTGCCATGTGCTCAAGTGTTGGAGCGTAGAGGGCGTAGCTCCCCTGGAACCGGAGCTGCCCATTGAATGCAGGTCCACTGACCGGCCTCCGGGAGGGCAGGTGGCCCGGGGCAGAGCCCCAGGAAGGTTCCCAGAGGTCTTGGGTTTTCTCCAGCTTTCTTGCTGCCCTGTCATCTGGGGGCCCTGAGAGGAGGGGAGATATTTGGAACTTAGGAGAACTTAAGGAAACTCCTAGAAGGCTCTGTTCCTTTCCAGGTGGGCCAGACACCCCCTTTCTGTACCTCGTCTTCATGCCTCCTCCCCACCAGGTGAGCGCAGGGAGGCGGGCTCTGCTGGTTGATCTTCTGTTTGCCAGACAGGCAAGAGCGCTCTGGGAACAGCGGGGCAGGAGGACTGGGGCGGGAGGGTGTGGGGGGCACTGGCCCATCTCCCTGCCTGTGGGAGCACCCAGACAGGATACCCAGCAGTGAGGGTCCTTTCCAGGTCTTGGCGAGAAGTGTGCCCTGGGGCTGCGAACAGGAGTGGTAGCCAGGGAAGTGGCGATGCACTGCCTTGTGCCCTCCTGCCTCTCTGAGCCTGGGAGTCGGGCAGAGCGGGCAGGACGTGGGCTTCTCTGCTGTGCCCCTCTGGGGTCAGGCCGGAATTTCCTTGGTGTGTGTGGGGATGGCAGCAGGAGGCCCTGGAGGGGTGGCTGGTGGGTGGGTTAGTGCTGTGGGGGTCCTGTATCCTCCCCCACCCTGAGGGCCTTAGCGTGGGATAAAGTGGGGGAGACAGGAGCTGGGGGAGATGTAAAGAGAAGAAAGGGGGGTGTTGGAAAGGAGAGTATTCCTATGGTCCTGGAATTCTTCAGGCAATTCTGGGCTGGAAATATAGAGCGTGAGGGTGGAAGAGTGCCCAGGAGGGCAAAACCTAAGTGAAAAGAGGGAGGATGGGCTCAGCAACCTAAGAGTAGAGGGGTACAGAGCAGGGCTGGGAGCCTGCCCACTTCCTACCCAACTTCTTTCAATGAGTTCCCCCCCTGGCTCAGCCCCTGGTGCCCAGGTAAAAGCCCGCTTGGGAGAAGAGAGTGGGGGGACTCAGGAGGTAGCTAGTGAGTTATCTGGGCTGAAGGGGGACGAGGGGAAAGTCCTCTTCACCCCTTTTTGTCTTTCTTGGGGCCAAGGAGAGTCTGGTGCATTCCGGGGAGTGAGGAGCAGGCCTAAGGGAGGCAAGAAAGCAGGTGGGGCGATACTGGAGCAATTTATTTTAAACGACAGGGAGCAGCCGGCGTGGGAATGGGGGCAGGTTGTGGGTGAGGCTGTGTCCTGCAAAGTCTGTTTGCCCAGGGAAGGCCCGGTCAACCCAGTGCAGGTGAGTGTCCACGGCCTTCCAGACAGGGAGGCAAGTGAAATGGGCTGCAGGCATTTTGACCCAGAACCTCTCCCTCTAGGCAGGATAGCACCACCCCTGGGTCTGTGTGCCGTCTCCTGCTCCCTTCTGGGGGGTGCTAGGCAGTGCAGCCACCGAGAAGGGGCTCAGCTCAAGCTGAACCCACAACCACCCACCTGAGACTGATGGCAGCCCCCCAGCCCTCTTTTGGGACTGTGTGGATCAGTATTTCACACTCTTGTGGCTGCCACCCACATAGGAGTTCTCACAGTGGGTGGTCTGGGTCTGAGTGGGACTTTGGGAAGGAAGCTTCTGGTTGCTCAGCCTTATCTGAGGTCCCTTCCTGCCTGGCCTGCGAGCTGCAAGCCCCAGAAGGCAGTTATGGGATGGACACGTCTTAGCCGGAGGGGCGGCCGTCAGATTTCTCTGTGGCACAGCTCCAAGAGCACCTGTGAAAAGTGAAAGGAGTCGAAGCAGCAAACTACAAGATGTGCAGATTGGAGGAGGGGATGGACGAGGGCTGCGGGTGCCCCGGGAAAGTGGTGGGGGCCTGGCCACGGGCTGTGCGCGTGAGCTGAACTCTTCAGCACTTCTGGGACTGAATGAGGCAGGAGAGAGCAGGCACTGCAGACTCCAGCCACGAGTGATGTGAGGCTCTTCACCTCCCACCCTGACTTTGGGATGGACAGGTGAGGGACTCTCGGCTTTTCTTGCCAAGGCCTGCCCTCTGTGCCTCTTCTTCATGGCTGACTTGATTTCCCCCCTTTGGGGTCGCTTTTGAATGGAGCAGACTGCTGCCATCAGGAAGCAAGACCTGGAGGGGCGCAGGGAGGCCGCTCCCCAAGTGGGATCGCAGTGCACAGGAGGCAGGCTTAGTCCCAAGGGCTGTGGGGACTTCCTGCTGAGAGTGAAGAAAAGGCTGCTCAGGAAGGGAAGCCGTGGGGCCGTCTGGAGTCACAGGCTTCATCACAGGTGCCAGGTGGTGTGGTTTCATGCCCTGCTGAGGCTGGGACCTGGGCGCGGCCGCACTGTCCCATGGGAGTTGGGCAGCACCCGAAGGAAGGTTTCTTCTGAGTGAACGTTGAGCGTGGGGAGAAACTCAAGGGAGAGGTTCTCAGGCCTCCTCTTCTCTCCCTTCAGACCCTCAGAGACTCTGCCAGGGCAGCGCTCCCAGAGCGGTGCCAGGGACAGGCTAAAACCCAAGCCCTCCTCCCCCCCCCCGTCCTCCTTCTCAGAGGCTGGGAGCTAAGGTGCACCGTGGTGTGCAGCCAGGCAGGGCCCCATAGGAACTGCAAAGGGGAATTGACAGCCCATCCTTGGGAAGTGGAGAGAGAAAAGCAAAGAAACCAGGCCTGGCAGAGGGTCTCTGGGGGCCATGTGGATCACAGGGCCTTGGGACCTGGGGGTTCAGTTGGTTTTGGGGTTTTTTTCCCCAAACTGCTAGCAGTTAAAGGCAATTTTGAAGATATTCCAAACTAGAGAATACAAACATTTGTTTGGCATCGTAGTGTGCTTAGGTTTAAAAATTATATTTGCTTTATTAATTATGCCAGCTTTAGGCTAATATTAACATGCATTTTCTGACTGGGCAGTAGTGAGTGGCACCTAGGTGGCAGGGCCACACCGTCAGCCAGGGAGTGACTAAGATTCAGAGAATTCAGAGCAATCCTGGAGACCGTGTTCCCAGGACTTAATGCTCTGTGTTTGTTCCGGCCCTTTTAGGATCTGAGTGATGAGATGTTTCCACTCCGGCGCCCCACGCCAGCAGGCGTCTAGCATGGACTGAGAAGCTGCACCTGCACAGAGGGCTGGCAGACATGGCTTCTTGGCTGAGTCCTAGGCAGTCGGCGGCAGCGAGGAGGAGAGGCCTGGGCATCTGGGGCAGGGCTGAGATGAAGCAGTTCTGGAGCGTGTGACCCGGCCAGAGCCCTACCTGCCTGGTCCACCATGGTCCAGAGGCTGTGGGTGGGCCGCCTGCTGAGGCATCGGAAAGCCCAGCTCCTGCTGGTCAACTTACTGACCTTTGGCCTGGAGGTGTGTCTGGCCGCAGGCATCACCTACGTGCCACCCCTGCTGCTGGAAGTGGGCGTAGAGGAGAAGTTCATGACCATGGTGCTGGGTGAGTCACCACATCCTCCTGCCCTCGTGCTCCGAGATATGCCACCCAGGAAGCAGGGCGGTGGTGTCTCTGCCCAGAGGGCTGCTTGGAAGGGAGGCTGCTGCCTGCTGCCCCTGAGCCAATGGGTCAGCGTTGCTGGAGAAAGGGGAGACCCTGGGCTGAGGGGGACCCAAGAGGAAGAAAAGAGTGCAGGGGCATTCCCTGCTCACCTCCCTGTCAGCCCGCACACAATGCCTGGCCCGAAGGAGGCACTGGAGAAGTTGTTCCTCACCTTTGTCCAGCTCTTGACAATTGATACCTGTTATCTCATTTTATCCTTGCAGCAAGCCTCTGAGGTGGTCCATTTCACAGAGGAGATAACAGAGGCTTATAAGAGGTTGGGTGACTTAGCCAGGCTGTACAGCTAGCTGGTAATTAATGGGATTGGGGCTCCCAGCCAGGGCTCTTCTTTACCCCTAGGCAGGGGCTGGGCTCCTGACTGCAGATAAATTCTGCAAAATCCCCAGAAGGCTAGTGGTCAACATTGTGACTCTCAGGAAGAAGGGGTTCTGTCGGGATTACAGGCTCTGGAGTCAGACTGCCTGTTGAAACCCTGCCTCTCGCCTTCCCTAGCTCTGTGTCTGTGCACAAGTACCACTTATCAGCGGCTCTGTGCCTCAGTTTCCCCATCCTAAAAAGGGGCGTTAGTGGCCCCAGTTGCGAGGGATAAACTGGAGTCCCTGCGCAGCATGCAGTACAGAGCTGGCCTGCCGGTGATGGTACCGTGATCATTTGCATCCTTCCCGGGAGGGCGGGTCCCGCATGGCGCAGCCCCGGCTCACGCTGCTGCACTGCTGCTCTCCCTGCAGGCATTGGTCCAGTGCTGGGCTTGGTCTCGGTCCCGCTTCTGGGCTCAGCCAGTGACCACTGGCGCGGGCGCTGTGGCCGCCGGAGACCCTTCATCTGGGCCCTGTCCCTGGGTGTTCTCCTGGGCCTCTTCCTCATCCCAAGGGCCAGCTGGCTGGCAGGACTGCTGTGCCCGGACGCCAGGCCCTTGGAGTTGGCCCTGCTGATCCTGGGTGTGGGGCTGCTGGACTTCTGTGGCCAGGTGTGCTTCACTCCGCTGGAGGCCCTGCTCTCTGACCTCTTCCGGGACCCGGACCACTGTCGCCAGGCTTTCTCCGTCTACGCTTTCATGATCAGCCTCGGGGGATGCCTGGGCTACCTCCTGCCCGCCATTGACTGGGACACCAGCGCCCTGGCCCCCTACCTGGGCACCCAGGAGGAGTGCCTCTTTGGCCTGCTCGCTCTCATCTTCCTCACTTGTGTGGCAGCCACGCTGTTTGTGGCCGAGGAGGCAGCGCAGGGCCCGGCTGAGCCAGCGGATGGGCTCTTGGTCCCCTCCATCCCACCACATCTCTGCCTGTGCCGCACCCGGCTGGCTCTCCAGAACCTGGGTGCGCTGTTTCCCCAGCTGCACCACATCTGCTGTCGCGTGCCTCACACCCTGCGCCGACTCTTCGTGGCCGAGCTGTGCAGCTGGATGGCATTCATGACCTTCACGCTGTTTTACACGGACTTCGTGGGCGAGGGGCTGTACAAGGGTGTGCCCAGGGCTGAGCCAGGCACCGAGGCCCGGAAACACTACGATGAAGGTAAGGCCTCGGCCACTTGGGGAGGCGGTTGTGGGCCTGCCCTCAGGGGCACACGCAGGTATAGGGAGATGCCCACGGCCTGTGCTCAGGCTGGTGGCTGTGCCCGTGGGATGGGCCCCCGCTGCAGTCTGCTCACGTGGCTCCGCCTGCTGTCTCAGAAGGGCCTCAAGCTGCTGAGAGCTTGATCAGAGCCATTGCCCCAGCCTGACCGGAGAGAAGACCGAGCTTATTTCAGGCCCACCAGAGTGGAGAAGTCCAGGCTGGGTTTCAGGTCCAGCTGGCTCCAGCTTCAGCGTGCCTCCTGCCCCCTACTGACTTTCCGAATCCCCTCACCAGGACCTCCCCACTCAGGCGTCCGGAGTCTTCTCTTGGAGCCTGTGGCAGAACTGACCTTGTGTTCCCTCTCGTGCCCCTGGGTAGTTGAGCACTAGACCCTTAGAACATCTTCTGCCCTTAGTGCCTCTGGCCACATTCTCTAGGGTCAGTGGAAGAGCCTAGACTTCCATTGCTACGGGGCGTGCGGGGGGCTTGGGGAGCAGGTCTGGTGTGTAGCAGATCTTGGGCAGCAGGTGCCCGTGGCCCCTAATTCTGAGCCCTCCCCAGATTGTATTGGGCCCCTTCCCCCTCCCTGCCTGACCGCCTCATCCCTGCCTCCCTCTGCAGGGGTCCGGATGGGCAGCCTGGGGCTGTTCCTGCAGTGTGCCATCTCCCTGCTCTTCTCGCTGGGCATGGACCGCCTGGTGCAGCACTTTGGCACCCGGGCAGTCTATCTGGCCAGTGTGGTGGCCTTCCCTGTGGCTGCCGGTGCCACGTGCCTGTCCCACAGCATGGCTGTGGTGACCGCTTCGGCTGCCCTCACGGGGTTCACCTTCTCCGCCCTGCAGATCCTGCCCTACACACTCACCTCGCTCTACCACCGGGAGAAGCAGGTACTCACGTTGGCCTCTGGGTGGGACAGGGTGGGGAGAGGCTGACCAGCTCCCGTGTCTGGCGAAAGAAGTTGGAGACTTCCTTTGATGGAGAGGAAGCCCATCGCAGCCCCAGGGCCAGAGTCACAGGCTGCGGAAGGCGGGTGTAGATTAGATTCTGGGAATGACTTCCGGAGTGGGGACCATAAAGCACTTGAGTGGTTGATTGCAGGAAACATGAAATCCTTCTCTGGGAACCCTGGAGAATCAGGCTAGCAGAAGCCCTCAGTTTGGGCTGGGTTGTTCTGTGTAGAGACAGGGGACTGGATCGGATGACCTCTGGGATACCTAGTGTCTCACACGGTGAGTGGGAATGGTCCTTACTCAGGGAGAGGCGATGTGACTTTCCCAGGCCCTGATTCGGTCTCCAGAACGGGGAGGCTCCTTACTGCTGCCTCTCTGGTTTATCCTCCTTTCCTGCCTGACTCTCTCTTTTCTTTCCCTGCATCACTCCTGTGCCTCTGCCCCCCCTGCCCCCACGGCGGATCTCAGCCTGACGCACCTGACACCACTTGCCTGGGCACTGTGTAAGTTGGGGGCCTCTTTCCTGCTCGGCCCCATACCAGCCAGTCCTTCCAGGGGCCCCCTTCTGTGGGAAGCCTCCTGGCCCAGGCTGTGTGGTCACCTCTGTCCCCAGTAGTGAACTCACTGAGCTACAGCCCTAGATGCAGAGCTCTGCCTGGGAGGGCAAGAACAGGGGTGTCTTGAGGGAGGAGACGCAGGCCTGCCCTCACTGAGCTGCCAGAATGTAGGGAAGGCACGCCTCTGCCTCTTGTAGGACATGAGTCGGGTAGTAGAAAAATACCTAGCTGGGAGGCCCGTTAACTGAACAGGCAGCTGCAGGGGCAAGGGGCAGAGATGGAGGGAGGGACCAGGGTTTTAGCTGGGGAAGCCTGGTCCCTGAGACCCCTTTTGGCACATGGATAACCTCCATCAGCTTCTTTTCTTCTGTTATAGGGGCCAGTCCTGGGCACTTACGATCTTGCCAGGGCACATGCTGGGCTGGTCCTCCCCTCAGACTGAGGAGCATGTCTGTCCCCAGGGGCCTGTCCAGGCTCCAGCCTCATTGGACTTCCTGGGGTTGGAGGCAGGGTGGAGAGGCCTAGGAGGCCCATTCCAGGGGGCATCTGATGACACACGTGGTCTTGTGCACCATCTGCACCTGCCTTTGCCCACTTCCGGCTACACAGCCAGCCTCAGGCTTCCCCGGTGTCACGCGTGAGCTCAGCTGTGGCTCTTTGCTCTGACACAGCAGCTCAAGAACTCTTATGTGTTAGGTGCTAGTGGGCATGGAGAGACGGTAGGATAAGTTCTGGCCTTAACCAGGAGGCTCCAGGCTGCTGGGGGCGGGCCTGGGGCAGGTCACTCTCAGAAGGGCTTCACCATTAGCCGAGCCGTGGGGGTCTGGAAGAGGACCATCCCGCTGCCCCGTCTCCTCTTCCTCCAGGCTGAGTGCGCTGGCCCCCCAGGCTGGGGCTGTGGCACCTCACCGCAGGGCAACTACAGCTAGGGCCTGGGACCCCCATGGGGGCAGAGCTCTGCAGAGGGCAACGAGAATGGCCAAGTGGGGTGGGGGGCAGGAAGGGGGAAGGAGAGGAGAGCGTGCGCGGGGCTTTGGCCCTCAGGGGCCCCACCTTTGAATTTGTTCCTCTGTCCTGACTCTTCCCTCTTCTCGCCTGTCTGCATTCTGCCGGGGTCTTCTCCTTTACTGTGGGGGTCCATTCTCTTCCTAACCTGCAGTGTGAGCCTGTCTGCCGCTTACCAGTTCTCGGAGAGGCTAGAGGAGCCCTAGACTTCTGGTTTCAGCTTTGTCTCCTCCTGCCCCCTCCCCTGCGCCTGCTGCTAGGGGGAGCCTAGATCAGCCCAAGCAGCGTCTGTTCAGGTTTCTGACCCACTGCCTGATTTGCATTAAGGCCTGTTGCCTAGTTTTTTCCAGCCCCTGGGATGAAGGCCAGGGTCTGTTTCATAGCCAGGGAATCCCGTACCTAGGTACACACCTGTCCTTGTCAACTTTTTCTACCCCCTCCCCCAGGTTTTCCTGCCCAAATACCGAGGAGACGCTGGAGGTGGTGCCAGTGAGGATGGCCTGATGACTGGCTTCCCAGCGGGCCCCAAGGCTGGGTCTCCTTTCCCCAGCGGGCTTGCGGGTGCTGGAAGCAGCAGCCTGCTCGCGACTCCGCCTGTACTCTGCGGGGCCTCTGCCAGCGATGTGTCCATGCGTGTGGCGGTGGG